ACACATCTTTAACAATCGATGTCTCAGAGATATTATAAACAGGCCATCAGGCATGCATGATACCCGGCCTTGTACAAAAGTCAGTTGACATGCTTTTTGCATGTAACTGCTGGTAGCCTGCTATTAAAGATGCGGTACAGACCGATCTGCACAATGCACATGTGCAGAAAGGAGCCCTCTTTTTATTTACAAACAGTTTATTTAGGTTTTTATTTCATTTTATGTTCTTGCAAAGCTTGATTGTTGTCTCTTGATAATTTATTATACACTAACTCTAGAATCATGAAAATATAAATAGTTGTCGAATAAAATGCAATATTTTGGATACCGAAAAGTAAACAAAGCCTTTGTTTACATACGGACTGTACCGCATCTTTATTAAAAGTTAATATATACAGACAACAATCCCCACTCTGGGTTGCTATAGGAAGCAAGGAAGCCTGATTACGTGCACAAGTAATTAACAGTCCGTCTGTCCGCGTTTGTTTTTAAAACGCGGTGCTGAAAGCACCATTGCTATAAACACCATTGCTATAAACATCTAAAATGAACACTATATAAAACTCATCGCCACACAAACAAATAAACTCAAAGTACATTTTCAAGCTCCTTGTAGGCTTGTATACAAAATAAGATAGATGTCATTATTGACATCATGAAATCATATGTTTCAATACCTCTGTATCGAATGCTATAAAGCAGCAGATCTAAATGCCTTCATGTATATCACCAGAAAGAAATAAAACCATTCTTACCTGATTTATTCTTTGATATTCGTTTGCAATCCAACATATAAACTCGTATGATCTCGTATTAAAAGTTTAATTAAACTGCATGCACAAATGCACAATACAAAATAAAGTTTGACCGCCCCCCTCGTTAACAAAAACTTCCTGAAGCTCAATTATTCCTCCCGGAAATTATCTTAACAGACAGCCGGACAGACACAAATCGAGATCTCGACAATACATAGATCGCGCGAAAGACTGGGTCGAGTGGACTCTGGAGAAACCATAGATATAGGAGAACTAGATTGCTAACGCATACCTAGCGCAGGCGGGGCCTACATGATAAATCCAAGATGGCGGTACAACAGGGCAAAAAGACTATAGATTCTATTACGAAAATCAGGATTTTTGCATTTTTTGCCGTCGCATTGTTTTGAAACTTATTCGGTCAAGCTTTATGGTAGAGAGAAACTTACCGCGAAGATTTTGAGCATATATATCATTGAATTGGATGAAAAATCGCAAAATTATCCAGCGATAAAAGTTCGTGTGAAGTGGTCAGTTGGAGCGTTTTATTGCCAGAAATACTGTGCTATGTTAACATCTAGCCTTGTGAATGGTGTTTTATACTTGCATCTCATCTGCTCTGTCCTCATATTATGAAGAAATGAACTGTTATGTACCCCACCCCCCCTCCTTGCTTGTTAGAGAAGTAAACTGATGAGAGCACTGGATGGGGGTCTATCATCTATGGTCTGTTATAATTTGCTTTTTATGCAAATAGTGAGCAAAAATTAAAGCAAAACTGTACAAGTTACATATATAGTACTATATCAGTACTATACACGAACTTTTATCGATGGATAATTTTGCGAGTTTTCATCCAATTCAATCATATATATGCTCAAAATCTTCGCGGTAAGTTTCTCTTTACCATAAAATTTGACTGAATAAGTTTCAAAACAATGCGACGGCAAAAATTGCAAAAATCCAGATTTTCGTAATAGAATTTATAGTCTTTTTGCCCTGTTGTACCGCCATCTTGGATTTATCACGTAGGCCCCGCCTGCGCTAGGTATGCGTTAGCAATCTAGATCCCCTATATCTATGGGAGAAACTACCACGTGTCAAGAATAGGGTGCTGCCTTCGGCAGCAATAAACATGCCAAAATAATATTCCAGAAAACAATACAATTCAATATAATTCCTTTATTAAACAAATTATACCTTTCGTATCGTTCCATTCTTAGTTTTGCGTTCGAAATTATGCCAGATAATTTCCTCAAATTGTAGTTCCTCCCCTGAACAATTGATACATTGTAAACATTTGGCTGCTTCGAGCGAGCGATTCAATTAAATTTGCACGTCGTTTTTAGACCGCGAGAGACATTGCGATATATAATCCTTTCAATTGACCAACTAATTTTCGTATAACTTGAATATTTCGATGCATTTTAAAACATTTTTAAAGTTAATACTCGCAAGCTTCGCTCCTCGCCTGAAGATTTCAAACTGAATTTATTATATAATTAGGGTCAAAAGCCTACTTAGGGGGTGGGGTACATTGACACGGCCACAAGGTACATTGACACGTCCATTTTGTTCGATTTATGGCAGGCCTCTCTCCCAGAAATTTTTTTTTCAAAACCCATTCGCAGGCTAGAACCCATAGAGAGGCCTGCGGAGGAGGCTAGTCCATAACTTGCCGTTGCCGAAAAGTAGAGATTTTCTTGCATGTTTTATTATTGAAATATCGTTTTCGGTAATAGTAGTCAAATCCGAAGCCCAGGCCAATGCTTCATTTAAAAGTTTTTCGGAAATGGATGGGTAAAAATCCACAATGTCAAACGAAATAAAACGGTGCCTGTCTTTATCGTTTATATTGCCAAACCATGAAATTACTTGTTGCGTATTTCTCCATTGATTTGAATTTAGTTTTTGTCTCAAATTGGAATTGATTTTATCTAAAATAACCTTACTTAGTTTTCCGGATTCGCTTTTTGCGGGATTAATTAGTCGGCATTTTGGATTGTTTTCGAAATTTTCTCTGTGATCTTTTAGATATAAATGCTTCGCGTTTTTTCATTCGTTCAATTCTGTCGCCAATTCCTAACCTACTCGAAATTTCTTTCAATTCGGAGTCAATTTCATCTATGAAGTCCTCTGATCCATGTTTGTACGATTTCGTGATGTTGTCATGCATGTAAGAGTTCGTTGTATGTGTTCAGTGACGTTTCGTAAATGTTTCTAGTTTTGTCCGCGAAAATGAAAATGTTCGGGGATGAATTAATTTTCCTCAAATCGTTAGCCAAAGATGTCTGAAATTGGTCTTTAGAACGCCGGAATTTTACATTTTCAATTAGTTTTATCAAGTCGTCTTCGAAAGGTTTCAAAAGTGGAATTGAAGGAGGCGATTTGTTAGACGAAAGGCCGAAAAGGTTGCTTTGGTTTTGAGTCGTTGATCCTTTTAGGAAGAAATTAGCTTTCCATCTCATACGTTTTGTTACGCTTTCCACTTTTTCAATCAAATTCTTTAAGTAAGCATTCTGTAATGGTATAGGAATATTCTTTAGTGAATAATCGAATCGAAATTGTCGCATGTTTGAAGTAGAAATAAAAAGAATAACGTAGACAAGAGTGCACAACCGATTACCGGGTGCAAATATAGCTTAAGATTTTGGTTTACGAAACACAAACAGTGCTCAATACCATATCTAGCATATATCGTACATATTTGATACAAAGCATGCTTATGACCAGCACAATGTTGCAATGCAGACATTGCTCTTTGGGCAGCCACGCGAGATGGATCAGGTGGATGCGAATGCTCTGATGGTTGCTGTCATAAAGTTACCACTAAATTTGAGAGTCTGCCCGATGCAGAAGCATTGCGCACGTGCAAACGCAAAAAATGGATTTTTTCTGAGGGTTTTCCCCGATTTCCCCGGTAAAAACAAAAAAAAAATAATATCACGGAATAAAGATCAAACCTTGTAATATTATCGAATGAATACACACATTAATTATTATTTAAAACAAATTATACATTTTGCTTGCTCATATCCTAAATCACTTCAATTCAATGGCTATTGTTTCAAATTTAACATTTAATCCTACTTACTAACATCCTAATTCAATACACATTTGTGTGAGGTAAAAAACCCACCTGTATCAAACAGGACGGAAGCATTTGCAGATTTGCGATTTCCCCGAGAACTACGAATGTGTTCCATCATTCTCAAAATGAAATCTGCTTACGACACGGCTATACCTTTTTATACGCTTGTTTGTTTACGACCTGACGTCACAACACGTTCCTGACATATGAGTCATCCGCTGTACAAACAAACTATAGATATGGTTATGCAGTGTTAATGAGTCACCGTCCCAGACAATTTGATAAACAATGTGGGCGAACGTGGGTGTTTGATATTTTGACAAATAACATCTCTATTTTCGGCGACAAGTCCGTTCGGCAAATGTCCGTTCGACAAAATGTCCGTCGACAAAATTTCCGTTCGGCAAAATGTCTTTCGCGAAGTGTCTTGCGGCAAAATGTCCGGGTACCGAGAAATCTGACGGTGATATTCTGTAACCAAATTCTCGTTGGGAAGCCAGTCAAGGACTGTCTGCTTTCCTTGACTTGACACATATATTGACACAATTAAGAAGAGTATATATCAATATTCTTGAGATATATTCTTGAGAATATATATCAATATTCTTGAGAATATATTGACACAATTAAGAAGAGTATATCATAGAGATTTCCTTAAAAGAAAAGCTGAAAAGGGTCTAAATATATGCATGAGGCTTATAAAAGGGAAAAGAATCGTGTTAATAAATTGATTAAACATACTAAAGCTAATTATTATTATTGGAGAATTGAACAAACATAACAATAATCCTAAAGAGATGTGGAATACAGTCAATATGTTGATTAACAAAAACTCTAAAACTACCAATGTAACTGAACTTAAGATTAATGACGAAACTATTTCTAAACCGCAAGATATAGCCGAAGCTTTTAATACCTTCTTTTGTGAAGTATAGGACCAAACCTGGCAAAAAAATTACGAAACAGTAATATTTCACCGGAAAGTTACATCAGGCAAAAAGAATCTAAATTTGAACTCCAATTGATATCAGTAGAACAGGTCTATAAGCTATTATCAACTAGTAAGGTGTCCAAAGCAGCAGGGCATGATAAAATATGTCACAAACTATTGCAGGATGCTGCTGATGTCACAGCTCATTCTTTAACTGCAATTTCATTACCAGAAATATGGGACATTTTGCTCCCGCTTTTGTAGTCAGCGGCTAAGTCCGTTTTATATGCCCAACATTGCCTAATATAAGTCATACGACTTCGCATTTTACTTTGAATCTCCAGTTCAAGTATTATTCAACCAAAAAGTGTGATTTTAAACTATATTTTGCAGTTTTTGCTGATCACTTCCGGTACTTTGACCTTTAACCCCGCAAATTTTTATCAAGACTAAAAATATTGCAAATATCCTAAAAAATCCTAAAATATCCCTGTGTTTTTACGTGAGAGCCTGGGGTCTAGTTCTTCAAAATAAACAAGAAACATGGCTGCTCGAAACAGCTCAAATTTGTATTAAAACTTGTCGTTTTTGGATATTAAGATGGCTTAATGGCGACATACAAGAACCGTAAAAAGGCGAACTTTTACACGTTTCGGGAACTAGTTTCCCTGGCAATTACAGCGGATTTATTTAGCTAAATTAACAGTTTGGACATCATTGAATATATCGCGAGCTCCGCACTTCGCATCGTCCGAATGGATGTTGGTCTATTCGTCGGATATTTACCTCTTGTGTCACAAGTTTACTATAAATTACACTATGAAATTCATCGAATTGCGTGTAAAAATACAACATTCTCAGGAACCTGCTAGACGCGATGCAATACTAGCGATTTTTGTTTAGAAATATTGCTTGTTCGTGTCGCTACTATAATCGAGCTCCGCACCAATGAAATATTTAAACAAAGTATACTAAAATTTGATATTTTGATCAACTCCCATATAGTTTATAGTAATATTTGGTCGCCATATTTGGTCAAAGTGCGCATGTCCGTCGCCATCTTGTCCCATATTTCTGGTAATGTTTTAATCTGTCTATTGAAACTGGAGTTTTCTCAGAGTATTTGAAAACTGCAGTTGTCTCACCTATCTATAAGACAAGGGATAAATCGGAATGTACAAACTACAGACCAATATCGGTGCTTTCTGCGGTTGCTAAAACTTTTGAAAGATTAATTTCCGATCAATTCTATAAATATCTTGAAGCAAACAATATATTGTCTCAACAACAGGCAGGCTTCAGAAAAAAATATTCAACCCAAACCTCATTACTTAATATAACAAACAATTAAGTGTTACAAATTATGTTAACAGGAAAAATTACCACAGCATTAACGTTCAAGCACCCCATCTATGGATGAATATCTAAAACCCCACATCACCCTCCCAGACAAACCACTTACATGTACTATAAAGAGTCATTGTCAAGCAATAATGACAGGGTAATTGGGTTTGACAAGGATGGTAACCTCAACTCTCACATATCAGTGAAACGCAGAGAGCTGGTTCCGAAAAAAGACCAATCCCTCCGAACGTCAGTTGTTTGGTCCAAACTTTGAACAGCGTCTCAAGATCGACCGGCTCAAAGACTGGGAAAACTATTGGAAAGGCCTACCGGATTGGAAAAGTCTTTTTTCGATTGTTTGCTTCTGGCAGCTTTCTTCAAGTGATTGGCGACACGCATGGCTACGACAAAGCTAGTGTGTCAAGAATAGTACGAAGAGTTTCCCTTGCCCTTGGAAACAAACATGAAACGCGAGTGAAATTTCCAACAACAATGGAGGGTTTTCCTTGATGCATCGACTGCACGCACATCCGGATACAGACGCCATGCAGTCAACACGAGCCAAATTATGTTAACAGGAAAAATCACCACAGCACTAATGTTCAAGCAATTTGTGATGATAAAGGTTAGAGCTAATATTACAAGTATTAATGCTTGTATTTTTTAACTATTTGATACCCATGTTTATGTTTTAGTGCAAATGGGTGTGGTCAAAGTTAAGGGGTGGACCATTAGATATCCTGGAAGTGGAGGGAGGGGGGAAACTTTTTTCTATATACTTTTGTAGTTGCATGTATTTTTACAATGGTCTGTGGCCAAGTGTCTTAAATCACTACGTTTCTGTTTTTTCCTGGGGGTTTTAGTGGGGTTTTTTCGTCGTCGAGAAATCGAGTTTGCGTTAGCGCATCGCAGGCTCAGTTTGTTCCGTCTGTTCCAGTTTACGATACAGATCATTTTTCAAGATGGCGGACATTCAATGAGTGACTATTTCAGTCTCAAACAATTTCTTCATTTGTGAACGAATTTTACCGTGTTTTCCTGTGGTTTTGTATTTATCCTACTCTGCATTTTCCTGGAAGTTAACATGGTGTTTTCTTTTCGCAACGCCTCTGGAAATGCGATATCTGGATCGCTTCAGAGACTTCAGAGACCATGCGCAGTTAATATGGATAGTACAGTTATGGATATTTGTGAGTAATGCTTGTATTTCATTGGACATTACGAAAACATCTCTTCAGGATAACTTAGGATAATTTTGCGTATTCCACCCACGGGCCCACGGCCCCACGCTGAAAAGCGTGTAAGACTTCGCATTTTGCGGTTCACGTAGTTTTGTTGAGGAGAAGCACTTGAGTATATCAGACATCTTGAGGAACTGCAAATTGTTCTATGATAAGAGAGAATTCCGGATTGTACTCCTTCGATTCCGAATTCTAGAGGGGGGGCATTGAAAATTTTAAAAACTTGGAGGGGGGGGGCATCGAAATTTACCGATAACCTCAACAGGGGCCCTGTAAAAATATGAGCTTTTTTCAAGACATCTTCATCCCCCTCCCTCGGTGTAATAAATGTACTTTCCCTTAGTATCATCATTTATGCCACATTGTCAATAATGTTTATGCCGTATGATATTAAAGGAATACCGAATGGTTTTCCGTGCTGGATTGCGTGACCCATGCACGCGGGATGTTGTGAGACTTTCGGAAAGCGTGAAAATACACGAGCCGCAGGCGAGTGTATTTTTACGCTTTCCGAAAGTCGAGCAACATCCCAAGTGCATGGATCATGCTATCCTGCATGGGAAAACCATTTGGTAATTGTTTTATAATATTACTACAGTGAAACGACGGTTAACTTGATTAGAATTACTGATGAAATGTGCAGTTCTCACAACAACCATGAATTAACCAATCGGAGAATCGCTACTCCACGCTATTGAAAACAACGACAAATGTGAACAGAATTTGATCGCAAATTCGCGAAAATATACAGCGAAAATACAGAGTCTTTTTTTATAAAATATACGAAATTTGAAATGGAAAACCAGCTAAACAGAAAGCCAAAGTAGTTATGAAGATTCTCCACCTGAATACTTTAAGACTGCGAAGCGTTTGAACTTTGAAGCGAGAGATGTTGTACACTGTCTTGTTGTACGCCTTGCTACTTGCTGAACAGCAATGTATCAATCAGAAATTTATTCATACAACTAAACCAACGTCTCAATAATTGCAAACTTACTTCAAAGTCGAAAGGTATTGTACAATAAAACTGTACAATTATGCGAGTATATTTGTAAAATTATGTGCAAGAATTTCTGTTTAGAATTTCCCGTGCAGGATTGTCTGATCCTGCACGGCTGTTGACCAATCAAATTGCGTATTTCACTGCATGTAGTTATTATATAAAGCTTCTTCCCGTTATATTGATGTTTGTTGCTCTATTAACATTTGTACAAAAACGATTTTTTCTGTGTTGGTGTTGTGTACTCAGGTGAATATAATGTTTGTGATGTTGACTGAGTGTATATCCACACCGGGCAAGCTTGAAAAATATGCCCGGCCACGGTGGGAATCGAACCTACGACCTTTGGAATACTAGCCCAATGCTCTGCCAACTGAGCTACGCAGTCAGGTCGGTTCGAGTATGTGATATTTCGGAACAGAATCTAGTTCCTTCGATACCAATGTAATCTAGTAAAATGATTTTCTGTGTTGGTGTTGTGTACTCAGGTGAATATAATGTTTGTGATGTTACTCTGAGTGTATATCCACACCGGGCGAGCTTGAAAATATGCCCGGCCACGGTGGGATCATATTACTAGATTACATTGGTATCGAAGGAACGGAACTAGATTCTGTTCCGAAATATCACATACTCAAACCGACCTGACAGCGTACCTCAGTTGGCAGAGCATTGGGCTAGTATTCCAAAGGTCATTCCCACCGTGGCCTGGCATATTTTTCAAGCTCGTCCGGTGTGGATATACACTCAGAGTAACATCACAAACATTATATTCATCTGAGTACACAACACCAACACAGAAAAAATCATATTACTAAATTACATTGGTATCGAAGGAACTAGATTCTGCTCCAAAATATCGCATACTTGAACCGACCTGACCGCGTAGCTCAGTTGGCAGAGCATTGGGCTAGTATTCCAAAGGTCATAGGTTCGATTCCCACCGTGGCCGGGCATATTTTTCAAGCTCGTCCGGTGTGGATCTACACTCAGCGTAACATCACAAACATCATGTGTATATTAAATATTCTGTATTTGTATTTCGGTATTTTAATTTGCACATCAATACATCCATGACATAAAATTTAATAGACGTATTAACTGTATACTAGGTTGTCGTGGCTTGTACTATTGTGAAATTCGCTTATTAACTGGGCTGTCCGAAACTGTTACGTGTTTATTAAAACACAAAGCAACATTTTGAAAGTTTGGGGCCAATTACATGGAGCACTTTAAACCCTGGGGTTGAACTCAGCCTTGTTAGCCGGGTTGAATTTTTTTGTGATTACATGGACGATTTCATTACATGGACAATTTCAACCCTAGAGCTGTGCAAACTCTGGTTATTTTTAGCCTCAACTATAGCTCAGTTGGTTAGAGAGCTGCACTGCAATCACAGGGCCACAGGTTTGATTCCTGCCAGAGGGTCGCATTTTATGCAACTGCTCCTGGCTAGGTCTAAATAAATGCATAGAAATCTACACTTGATATTTCCATAAACCCTTCAGCATTTCATTTACAATATATGAGAGGGCGGCCCAGCCCCCCTAGGCAAGATCTTTCTATTGACAACCCAAGATTATGAAGGTAGCTCGGGCTGGCCATCCTAGCAAGGCTTGGTAAAAAAACCAGTCGTATCAAACTTGGTTTTTGATTCAGATCCTGGTTAGTGTTCGAAAATTTGCATGGCAAAATATGATTTTCGTAAGAAAATAGATAAGTTGACGAAAGCCATATTTAGCTTTAATTTCAGTGTTGTTTACGGAAGAGAGCTACCATAGGAATTACGAGGGCTAATTTTTATCATATATAAGTGGTAAAATTAATTAGCCCTACAGGAAAGTGCAGAGTTTACAAAAGCGGAAGTTAACGCTCTTGCATTTGACTGCAAATGTGTTCTTACTAGTTTTTACTAGTCTTATGCTCATTTCTGACGCATGAATTCAACTTTATTTAAGCGTAATTTCCCGCTCAAAACATTGATACAAACATTATACCACAAATATGTCGTCATTTAAAAAAAGGCCAGAAAAATATAACCTCGAACTAAATATAAACATACGCATGAATGGATTGGTCGTTCGATTTTTATATACCTGTTTATCTGATCACATCGGAAATGATCTGATCACGTGTAAAGTATCGCTACAAAATATAGAAATACTCACCAAATAATGGAACTTTGCACAAGAATCCAATCCATGTAAAGTAAAAGCTTTGCATCACGCTCCTCCGCAGAGGCTTCGTAGTTTGTTTTCTTTCTATGAGACGTCTGAGTTCGTTTTCTTTCTATCTAAGTTTGACTTACCACTGTGAAGGTAGCCGCGGATTGGGCCTCAGATTCGGCTCAGATTTGGCCTTCGATTGGGCCTCACGTTCAACTGTATTCAATCATTCAAAAGTAGATTATTTGAACCCCTTTTTCTGGCTACTTTTAAGGTATTTTTAACGGTAACCGGTCGTTTCGCCAACGAGGCGTTTCG